CTCAGACGCAACGTGCAGCAAAAAATGAGGGTCTCTTTTTGGGGCTCGCAAACTATAGGGTGCCGCATTAAAAGCAAATTTATGTAGGGCTCCCCAAAAGGGCCATGATTTTGATAGTTACCCATTTGGGCGGTCGAAAACTCGAAGGTGGCGCCTGCCAACAACCTCGCGGCAAGCAGCTTATGATATACTCATGTAGTGTATTTGGTACACGATTATGGTACACTATTGTATTTTTGGTATGTTATGGCACATTACTAAAATATGGTAGTTTATGACCTTATGGTAGATTATGATATTATGTTATTATTAATAATCATGAATATGATTGGGCCTCTGCGGCGCCAAAGCAGCCAAACAAAGGCAATAGCTAGCAATGCGGGGTTTGATTTAGACTCCCAGAAATATAATTAAGCCTCGGCGGCGCCAAAGCAGCCAAACAGAGGCAATAGCTAGCAGCGCGGGGTTTCATTTAGACGTCATACGTCGTCCTGCCCAACAAAAGACCTGAATAAAAGACCTAGGTCTTTTATTGTGTGTGCATTTTGCAAGATAAGCAAATTAGCCAGATAAAAGCAGGGTCTTTTAAAATAAGCGCCAGGGACCACCAGGTTGTAGTACAGCGCGATTATGGTATATTAACTGTATAACAGTGTATGATCTGATATAGTGCAGTATGGTTCAGATCGTTGATGAACTGCTACGTTTCTATGGTGTAAGGCCTAGGTCGTAGGGTTACCACCACCCACGTATAGCCAATGTTACAATACCCTAAATCCCAAACCCTGCAACCCTGAACCTTTATCCCAAAGGCTCTGTCTCCAATTCCTGAACCCGTGTCCCTAAACCAGTTATCTCTATCCCCGTTATCCCATCCCGGATGCCAACTCAAACCCTAAACCTTAGGCCCTAAACTCGTGCACCCATGTAACTCTAAACCTGCAGCCCCGAACCGTAAACACCCGATTGCAATGGCAGAGGTTTGCAGGGCTCGACAAGCCTGCAGAACCACTACTTGGAGGTTTAGGGTTTGGGGGGGTTCATGGGGTTTCTCATGGTTACACATCCCCGAATATGGGTCATAATCAGAGTCAGCAATCTTATAACCCCACTTATAACTACCCATGAACCTCCAAGTAGGGCTTAGACTATTAGGGTTCAGAGATGACAGCATTAGGGCTTTAGGGGCTTAGGGTAGATGCATCCATCAATGCCAAGCCCATACCCAAGCCCTGAGCCCAAATTCCACCAAACTCCCAGCTTCGAGGGAAGCTACGAGCAGGGCATCTACATCTTTTGATGTATAAAATATCATGATATTGTAAAGTCTAGTATAATATACAACAATATGCCGCCACTGTGCACTTAGTACACTTTCATATACTTTAGTCTATATCTACTATAAGATCAGATACTCTGCTTAGAACCCTAGTTTAAAAAGTCGTTTGATCCTCCCAGTGTCAGAGCTTGGTACACGACCTTAACACAGAAACCCTAAATTACAAACCCCTCAACGCCCAAACCCTTAACCCCTAAACTTAAACGTAAAAACTTCTACACCCAAAATCCCACCCCTAGACTCTAACCTTTAACCCCCGAACCCTATACGCTGAACCGTCTTAAACCCTAAACCGCAAGTGTCGGAGCCTGGTAGAGACGGTTCTCCGGTAGGCCCTGCGAACGGCACCAGTCGTCCACGGCTCCAGCCACGAAGCGCCTTAAAGACGTACTTGGAAGTTTAATGGGTCGTTCGTGTTCCTTTAAGGCTTCCGTTGAGGCTTCTAAAGGTTTTTAGGGTTTAGGGTCTACTTGGAGGTTCGTGGGTAGTTACAAGTGGGGGCAACTATAACTATAACCCATATGAAGGGACTTTTAACACCCATTCATAAATAATTACCCATGGACCTCCAAGTAGGTTTAGCGGATTAAGGGGGTAAGGTTCAGGTTTAGAGGTTTTTGGCTTAGGGGTATGGCTTCGGGTTTAGGTGTCTGCGTGGTTTAGGGTTGTGGTTTAAGGGGTTTAGGGCTTGGGCGTGATGTTCTGTAGAGTTTCAGTGTTTCGAGTTGACGTCGGGGTAGATAACGGGGCTTTGCAGGGGTATAGGTTTAGGGTTTAGGGTTTAGGGTTTAGGGTTTAGGGTTTAGGGTTTAGGGTTTAGGGTTTAGGGTTTAGGGTTCTGCTTGTTTGGTCCCGGGTACTGAGACAAGAAGGCCTGATTCAAAAATCTGTCGCTGCTAGTGAATCCGAGTACAGACCACTTCAGCCCCATAAAGACCCCACAAAGCCCGCACTCTATGCCACGCCCGTTTCCTCCGAGGATTCCTGTGTCTGTTGCTGGTTGATCCAAAACACGACCCGGGGGATGGTACCTAATCTTCGAGTTGCTTCGTGCAGGCCTAAGAGGGATTTAATTTCCTGGTGCACTGTGGTGTGTGCCCCCATGCACGGCATGGCCCACCTTCTCCCATAACCACCCTGCAGGTATCTTCCATAATTACTTGGACGTTTATGGGTAGTTACTACAAGTCCCTTAATATGGGTTGTAATTATGTCGTTGCCCTACTTAGGACCCCACTTGTAACTACGCATGAACCTCCAAGTAAGGGGTTTCGGACCCTAAACCCTAAACCCCGAAGACCCTAACCGTAACCCTAAACCCTAAACCTGTAACCCGTCCGGAGTCTCTGAGTACTGCGACAGATGACAGTCCGACCAACTGGCCAAGATGCCGGAAGCGAAGGAAGGCCTTTCACGTGAGTCTCTTCTTCTGTTGCTTTGGGAGTTTAAAACCCTAAACCCCAAACCCT